TAGATAAACAGTTCTGTGACCATTGCTCAACAGACTGGTAACAATGCTGAAACAGCAGCCCGCACCCTCTGTGGAAGAGTTGATAGAAATCAATGCTCTTTATAAAAGGTCAAGTACAATAGAAGCCCTGACTGCCACAATGATGATTTTCTATCATAGCAATAACTGGGTCATTTTAAAAGATAGCCTTTGAGTTTCCTAATTTAGCATCTGACAGAAATCCTAAGTCCTGTTAGGTTTACAGACTGATATTTATGCCAAAAGATAGTTATTATACCTCCTAACCACTGCAGAATTTGTTGTTACTGTATAGATTATTATTATTTTTTTTTGTGTATGAGAACCCAATGTCACCCAAGGGCATTTTGCATTTAAAACTGGCCATACAGCAGTAGAATTTCATTGGAAAATACTTGTTTTAGAATGTTTGTTCGATTTTCTAATAGTTAATGGGGTAAAAATGACAATCAATGGAAATTAATTCTCAGAATAGCAAAATTCTAACAGTAAATGTAGTTTAAACAGTAAAGAGATACGGATGCTTATCTGTCTGGACATGACATTCGCCTACCTATGCGTAGCGCTTTACAATATAAGGAAGACATTGTAGTTACAATATAAATCAAGACAAAATGGTAAGGAGGGCCCTGCCTGTAAGAGCTTACAATCTAAAAGGGAGGGGCAAGTGATACAGGAGGTGGTAGCTGTGTGGGGATGAATTGTTTGAGAAAGTGATTGTTCAGTGGTTAGGTTGGAGGTGGGATAGGCTTCCCTGAAGAGATGAGTCTTTAGGGATCGTCTAAAGGCAGACAGACAACTTGGGGTAAGGAGTTCCAAAGGTAGGGAGAGACTCTAGAGAAGTCCTGGAAACGAGAAGTGACAGCTAAGGCAGTTGTAGATTAGGCATTCTAGGAGTTTGATGGAGGGAAACATGTCAGTAGAGAGGAAAGATTTAAAATGTGAGTAAGAGAGTGTAGGATAGAGTAAGAGGGTGACCAAAGTAGTGGTGAGGGAACAGTGTCCATGGGGCAAGTAGTGAGGCGGGTGTCAGAGAAAAGCTTTGTAACCTCCTATGTAGTCACAGGGTCAGAAGAGGAAAGTAAAAAAATGTGATGGTGGATATGGTACATTAACTGGGGAAGGTGACTGAACAATGGAGATCTCATCCCGAATTGCGTCTATCTTGGTTTTTAAATGAATGGCTTTGTCCTGGGCAGTGAGAGAGTTAGTGGGTGGAGGTGGCGGGGGACATAGTAGAGAGTTAAAGGTAGAAAAGAGTTGATGATGACTGGATGTGTTAATGAGAGTGACAAAATAAATCTGTTTGGTAGCACGGAGGGAGGAATTATATTTTAGGAGGGCAGCTTTATACAGGGTGGAGTCTTGCAGAGACTTAGTTTTACGCCACACTCCCTCAAGACCACGACTATGTCTCTTAAGATTTCTGGTACCTTCTGTTTGCCTTAGTTGTAGTGGATGCAGCTTAAGTCTGTGTGGAGTGAAAGGAGCCAAGGTGTCTAGGGAGGATGAGAGTGAGCTGTTGAAGACAGATGTAGCCAGCTCAAGGCAGGACAGGAGTGAGATTTTGACATAGAGGTAGTCAGTAGCACAGTAGAGAAGAGAATGGTTGAGGTGTCGAAGGTTTCTCAGAGTAAGAGTGAAACTGACAAGGTTGTGGTCTGAGAGAGGAAAAGGGGTGATGGAGAGGCTGCAAGCAGTGTATAGGCGAGAGAACACAAGATCAAGTATGTTGCCATGAGAGTGAGTAGGAGTATATGTTCATTGTGTTAGGTCAAAAGAAGAGGTTAGGTTGAGAAGTTGGGTGGTGGCCAGGGTTTTAATGTTATTAGCAATGTTAAAGTCACACAGAATAATAGTGGGTATTTCAGAGGAGAGAAAGTAGGGTAGGCAGGCAGGAAAATCCTCAAACAAGCAAGATACCGTTCCAGGAGGCCGATAGATTACAGCAATCCTCAGAGAAACTGGAGAAAAGAGGCGAATACTGTGGGCTTCAAAAGAGGAAAGGGATAAAGAGGGAGGTGAAGGCAGACATTGAAAAGTGCATTGCCGGGATAGAAGGATTCCCACTTCACCGCCTTTCCGTCCACTGGATCTGGAAGCATGTGTCCAATGGAGGTCACCATGGTAGAGGGCAGCAGGGGAGGAAGAGTCAGATTCCTGAAGCCAGGTTTCAGTAACAGCAAGCAGGTTAAAAGGAGTTGGAGATAAGAAGGTCATGGACAGCGGTGAGTTTGTTACAGACAGACCGGCATTCCAGAGGGCACATGAAAAAGGAGGACCGGCTCTAAGAAGCAGGGGAATAGAAATTAGGGTGTGTGGATTGCAGCTGTTGCCAGAGGAAAGGTCTAGGGGGTGAATATTAGAAAACAGAGGGCTAGGATTGGGAGAAATATCCCCAGGCATCAGAAGCAGAAGGGTGAGTGAAGTGAGATGAGAACGAGCTTTATATGAGCGCACATGCCCCAGTATCCTGGAGGTAGCCCTAGCATGTGATTTCAGCATGAGCAGGAGGTGATGAGTGCAGTAGTAGGGAGAGGGCAGGAGAAAGGGTAAAATATATAAGAAAGGTAGATGGGGAAAACAGGATCACCTGCAGTCTGTCAGGAGCTCTGTTATATATTTGTGCCTTCTCTAAGTGCCCTGATGACACGTATTTTAAAATAGACATTGCAAAAGTCCCTATCCCCACTAGCAAATGTGCCTTCCCCATAATGACATCTAAAATGTATATGACTATGGGGTGGGGGAATGTATACCAGTTAATCATTTAGGAAATGTTAAAAGACACATGGGATCAAAGAGCAAACATGTCACACATGTCAGACAGGCATAGGCCATAAAGATAACATCGCCTTTTAAACAAACAAAACAGGGAAGTATATATCAAATATAGGCATCAAATATACAGCTGTAGGTAAAAATCACAAGAAATGTGGAGCAAATATTAAATGTAAATACCATTGCAGAAATGTTTCAGCAGACAGACAGCAGTTCAAGCAGGGTGGAGCCTACAAACCTAACATGCGTTTGTTAACCCCTTCATGACTGAGGCCCTTTTTTCATTGGGGGGGGCGGCCCCTTCTTCGGGACGCAGAAGCGATCTGGCGACAGGTAAGTCGCCAGGATCGCTTCTGTTGTAAAGCCGACAGTCGGCTCTACAAGTTTAAACAGACTCCCGGCGGCAAAAGTCGACGGGAGTCTGTTTAAACAGCCCCGATGCTGGCGACGTACACTGTACGTCGTCAGTCACGAAGGGGTTAAAGTGGACCGTTACATCAGTAGAACATTACTGGGAAATCTCACGAGATCACAGAGAAAGGCATTTTCCTCCCCTGTGATGACTTGCATGGTCACATGTCCTAGTCACATGTGCCAGAGTTCCAGGTAGGAAAGTGAGATATATTAACCTTCCCTTAGTAAAAATGGCCACTGTGAGGTAAATGGGGAGGAAAAGAAAAATAAGGAATGCAAAGAATAAAAACCCTGCAATTATTTATAAGTATCTGTTTGTAGATTGTCATTACTAAAGGTGAGTGGGGTAAGTGTTTTTCCCCAAAGTTCTCCTAAGGGTCACGGGAGGACACAAACTAGCGTCCTCCCGTGACTCAAAGCTCAGTATACCGCGAGCTACAGCTTGCGATATACTGAGACCGCCGCAGACGGGACGGATCCCGACATTACGGTGGAGATCCACCCAGCTGCGAGAGTGACAGCTGGCTCTGCCTATCTAGAGGCAGAGCCAGCTGTACACGCCCCCCTCTCACGTCCGTTCCGCCAGTCAGCGCTGGAAGATGGGATCAGGGGAATCCCTGCAGGGAGTCGTGAGTGACAGTCACTGCTCTCTGCAGGGACATGATCGAGAAGTGAGCGAGCGACGCTATGTGTTTGCTCACTTCCCGATCTATTGAGCCGACGTGCGACAGTTTCATTGTCACACGTCGGCTCGAACTATGAGGTTGAGTGAAAATTACTCACCTCATAGTTCTCCTTTAAGCTCTGTTTTTTTCCTCCATAACACAAGTGGCATCCGTTCCATTCGGCTCCAGATCAGCAAGGGGTCCATTTCATGGATCTCCTGCTGATCTGGAGTGGACACCGCCCATGTGAAAAGGACCTTACATGCTTAGGGAACTCGAAGGTTTACGTTAAAAACACCATAAAAATGAAAAGGTGACTATTTGTCAGCTTTCCTGGCTTTGTTTTAGCTTGTCCCAAACAAAGTCACTTTTGCTAAACAGCTTTGTCTGTATGTAAAAAATAAACAACATACATAATACAATCGTTATATTATTATCTGCACACAGTTATCAGAATACAATATTTTGGTTGAAGCATAAGGAAATCATTGGGAACATGTTACATCCTATCCAAGAAATCTGTACCTATGTTAAGGTTAACACTATGTTAAAGTGCCCCTGTCATTATAGTAGGGCTGCAACAACTAATCGACATAATCGATTATAATCGATTATTGAAAAAGTTGTCAATTTTTTCAATAATCGATTAATCGGCTTCCGATCAGTTGGCCCTGTTCACGGCCATTCGATATTCTGCATTCATTGCTGTATAATTTTACACTTTCCTTTTACTATATTGCACACCACACTATTTTTTTTACTTCCACCGCTCCCAGCTTGCTCCTGTGATGGAGTGCAATCTCAATACAAACTAGTAGTCCATCACTGGACCCATTTTTTAAAATGTATTTTATTATTTATCCGATTAACCGATTAATCGAACTTAATAATCGGCTAACTAATCGATTTTGAAAATAATCGTTAGCTGCAGCTCTACATTATAGGGTCAATAATAAACTAAAGCCAGCCGGTCAATGGCAATGCCATGTACTTTCCTTTCCAGTGGCGTGCGTCCTAACACCCCTATAGTGGCACTTCTATATAAAAGACCTCTTACAACAATGTTAACATTTCTTCAACTGAATTGTGAATCGCAGATATAGTGGCATGAATGGTAGTTACCTGTGGTCAATTACTGTAACATTGGAAGGTGGGATTCCTAAAGCCGCACAGCTCTGAATGAATTCTTTCTTACGAGTCTCCCCTTGATTGTAGTAATTTCCTGAGAATAATAAATATCTGAGCTTACTTCCCTTGTTTGTTATTACAGCAGTACTAGCTCCAAACCAATCTTGCATATCACTTAGAAAACTTTGTCAATCCAGTAATAGTGACCCTTTTTATAAAAACTGGAGAGAAGAGGGTTCAGTGGCAAAAGGGTGAAGATGTCCTAGTTACCAATCAGGTCAAATCAGGAAAGTGACTTCTGAATGGCTTACAGCTCTTTACCAATAAGTTTATGTTAAGCTGGCCATACACCATTAGAATTTTGCTTAATATTTTGGGGTCAAATAAACTATCGTTTTCGACCATACTGACTAGGGATGCACCAATACTGGTATTTTGGCACCGGGTACCGATAATTTTTTTCCGGTACTCACCGATACCAATTACCGAGTACTGGAAGTCCCATTCAGGAAGCCAGGTGGCGTGTAATGACTCGCCGCCTGGCTTCCTGATAAGCCGGGAAGTGTGTAAAGACTCGCCACCCGGCTTCCCGATTAACAAGAAAGTCGTCCCATACGAATCCCTCAGTGCGGATCACTGTCCCCTCTCACCTCGGCATGTCCAGCCTGTCACCCCCGGGGCCCTCTCCAGCCAGGAGCGGCCTTCCTTCATCCGGCCAATCATGGAAGCCCGGCGCCGTGTGATGGCCTGGCGCCCTTTCTGATTGGCCGGGAGGCCGGCTCCATGCTCCCTCATCATGAGGGAGCATGAAGCCGTCTCCCGGCCAATCAGAATGCCGGGCGCTGCATCATTACACAGCGCCTGGCTTCCTGCATGGCTAGCTTCCCGACCATCGAGAAGCCGGGCAGCGCGTCATTATACGCTACCCGGTTTCCTGATTGGCCGGGATGTCGGCTCCATGCTCTCTCATCACAAGTGACGAGAGAGCATGGAGCCGATTCCCGGCCAATCAAGAAACCGTGCAGCGTGTAATGACGCGCTGCCCGGTTTCCTGATACAGGAAGTATCGGGCTAGGCATCGGAGCGAGTACTCGTACTCGCCCAAATACTCGATATCGGCACCGATAAGAAAGAAAATAGAAGGAGCAGGATGAAGAAATGTTTCTCTAACAGACAAGATTCTAACAGTGGATGTGGTTTGCATTCAGAAAACTCAGTTCATTCCGATTTTGAAAGTTAAGATCAAATTTATAATGACATTCTACAAGTCTCTGATGGCATTATCAAATGTTCTGAGGAGACTTTTCATATGAAAGTTCACATGAAAATCTACCAGCGTATGGCCAGCCTAAAGTAGGGTATCCACGGGAAGAGTTTCCAACTAACTTTGCTATGAAAAATCTCGTTGCAACATTCGATAACGCCATCAGAGATTTGACGAATGTTGTTTGAAATGTCTTTGTTTTCCATTTTGATTTAGCATTCGATTTTGAAATGAATGTAGTTTCCCGAAGAAAAAGCACATTCACTGTTGGAATTTTGTTCAACTGAGAAAAAAAATTCCAACGTGCTTCTTCAAATTTTTTTGCCGTTGCACTCGTAATCAATCATTGATTTGACCCTATCAACTATTGGAAAGTCAAACAAACATTCTGAAATCAATTTTGTTCATTCAATTTTCCTTCATATACCTTGCTTTAGTTCTCTATTTGTATTCATGGCCCACCCAATTTTTGCATGCAACTACTATCTTGCAGAGCTTTGAATTCAACAGAAAAAAAAAGCCAAAGTCTCCATTCGCACCTATTCACAAGTTGTTTTTTCCCCCAGGCGTCTGCAGCATCTAGTGTAAATACTCATTTTGTTTCTTGTCTTTGTTTTATAATGAAGCTCAACTAATTCCAGTAAACTTTAACCAACAATATATAAATAATGAAGCGGTTTCATTAAAATAGTTTAAAATGAACTATGGAGATGTCAAAAATAGACAAGACTAGTAACGTACAAATGATTTTTTGTCCTAAATCTTGAGATAATTATCCTCTGTGCAAAAAAAAACAGAAGAAAAGCTGATGTCAAATCAGGAAATTAAAAAAGCAAAACCGCATGATCTCATTAGTGGCTTATTACTGGGGGCTCTGAAGTCCTGTAATACTTAAATGCTTAGAAAACTTTTTCAGCTCTTTGAAACTCCATGTAATTCATAGTAGGAACAGGACTGAATTTCTGCACAGCCAATGGTCGATACCATAGGAGAGCTGGGCTACACTGGATGGCACATGGGTACCATACACCAGATTGCTGACTGTCACTAACAGATTCCCATGATGGGAATTTATCAAAACGGAAGCAGACAAAATCTTTAGCAGCTTTACACGGAAACCAATCAGCTTCTTTTATTTTCAAAGCTTAAGTGAACAAACTGAAGAGGGAAGCTGATTAGTTACTATGGGCAACTGCCCCAGATTCTGTCTGATCCAGCTTTAATAAATCCCCCTCTCCATGTATAATAGAAGGTTCCAGGCTGATGCCCTTAATGCCAGCGTGGCTGCATCTTCATTACTGTTGTCCCTTCACAGTTTCTATTGGTGGAATGATGTACTGACAGGTCTATACAGTTAGTACCAAACTGGTAGGGGAGGAGGGTGCCAGCTTACCAGCCCTTGTTGTTTTCAGCCACAGCAAGCCTTGTGTGACTATGTTTTGTGTTCATGTGAAATGTACATCGAACGCAGGCCAGCAGATTCCCACTTACTTCAATGGTGTTGTGTGGATAACAATCCTGAGGCTAGGTTGGACCTGCTTTGTATTGTTTCTTTGGATTCAGTAGGTCCCATTAAGATATGCTTGTTTTGCAGACAAAGGAGGTAAAACGCTCAGATGTATGTATTTGAGCAGAACTACTTTCAAATGCAAAAGGAAGCTTTTGACAACAGCGCCCATCAACACAAGTCTTTAAAGTATAACTAAATGCACAACTTTTTTTTTTTAGATTTGGATAGCGTTTTGAGGGGCTAAGAACCCATGTCAGATTTTTAATACAGCGTCATCGTTAGGAAGATGCACTCTCTCAATAGCTGCCCATACACCTTACAACCATCGCACAACTTTCGTTGTGCGATGGATGTAAGGCCATTAAAATTTCAGGACAGGCAGATCGTACTTACGATCATCGCAGGCCCTGGCCGCTGAGGGGAGGGCTTCCGATGATTGCAGTGCTTAGCAGGCAGTGTGCGATTGCGCACACCAGACCATGCCACATTCGTCTTCCGAGCACGCCACCAAACCGCCGAAAATCGTACGATTTTCGGCAGGTTTTCCAGCGTGCTCGGAAGACGAAAGTCATGCGGCCTTACAGTAGAAGTGGTCGCACGCTGCCCATACACCTGCCGATTATCGTACGATCGCGGGATTACCCGCAATTATCGTATGATAATCGGCAGGTGTATGGGCACCTTAACTGTTCTGATCACCCATGTTTACAGGAATGACAGTGAGGGGAAATCCAACATTTTGAGTGGCCACCAGAACAGGACTAAAGGGAAAACCATCCAATTGGGACACTTGTTCTTGTTACAACTGTTTAAGAAGGAATTTCAATCACATTGCAAAGATATCCTCTTACTTCCTGTGAAGACGACAGGACATGAAGGGATATCTCTTTGAGACACAGATACAGCAGTGTTAACCCTCCCTTATTGGCCCATAGAATCAATAGGAGTGAACAGATATCACACATTTTAATGTGCTACTATGACTAAGCAGTCAATGGAGTAAGGAGAAAGGCACACTTGGCCTGGGGGGAGAAAGAAGAAATGCGGTCCTGGGATGAGATTACACGGCAGCACATGTATAAACGGACGTTGAACAATCATTTCATTTATAGCGGAAATGTTTCCGGTGCAACCCACCAGGACAGATTGATGGAAGTGGCTGTGTGACACAAGCATAAAATGTAATTGGACATGGATGGATAGATATATATATGTTTATCAATTTACAAAATGCAAAGTGAATGAACAGAAGAAAAATCTAAATCAATATTTGGTGTGACTACCCTTTTTCTTCAAACTAGCATAAATTCTTACACTTGCACAAAGTCAGGGGTTTTGTAGGATTAGAGTCAGGTGTATGATTACCAATTATACCAAGCAGGCGCTAATGATCACAAATTTAATATGTAGGTTGAAACACAGTCATTAAAGGGGTTATAAACCCTCCGTTTTTTTTGCTTATATCTACTGCTAGCAAGCAGTAGATATAGGCAAGAAGTGTAAAAAAAAACAAAAAAAAAACGCTTAAAATCCTTTTAAACTTACCTCGTTATCGCCGCTCGTTCCCACGCTGAGAATCAGGAACTGCTCGTACGGCCGCAAAGGATCTTGGGGCGGGCGCATGCGCAGTTCCGATTCTCGGCCAGGAGACGAGCAGAGACGCAAGGGAAATCTATGGCACCCATCACCT